ACATTGTTTTAGTTGATTTAGAAATCGTTGAGGTGAAATTTTGGAGAAAAAGGTAGGCTACATTAACAATCAGAATGCCAGAAATTTGGATTTTAATGCAACTTCACCTGGTATGATTATTTGACATGGTGATTACAAATATCGCAACGTTCTGCACAGTAGGGACTTACAGGGTAGGGTAGCTAGACGTTGCGTGGTCAAAATCATGATTGCAGCTGATAATTATAAGGGATTACATTCTCGTCGTCACACTATACCCATTTTATCGAGGCCTTGGGATCATGGTTGATAGACGATGGACTCATTAAATTCATCATTCATTCATTTTTTGACGAAATGACCCTACCATACGAAAGATACGGTGCTAGCAACCAGCATTTCATTAAAAAACTCAACCAAAAACTCTAGATCTTTCGAGATTTTTATAAGGTCGAAAAATAGTACGAACATAGCCGAGAAGCAAATTTCTTTTGAAGGAATCAAGTAAGGAAACTGACTCAGAGCTGAAGCTTATTATTATTTGTTTATAGGTTATGATATAGAAGAGAAAATAGATTATTAGTATAAATCAAAAAAAGCCAAATTGAGCATTTTTATTGCACAAAATAAATCAGAAAGCAGGGAAAAAAGCTCCGATAATAATTATGCATTTAGCGCCACGTCTACTGAACGCACTGAACAGCTATAATTTGAACTTGCGAAAAGCCAGGACCTCAACGATGTTGCAGAAGTGATTGTGAGAGATATGAAGTATGGTGGCTTAGATGATATTTTGTGAAGGCTTGTTGGAAGGCGATAAACTGTGAATTACGCTCGCTTTTTTTTTGATATCTCCACCTCTCTTGATTAAGGCAAAATGCGTCGCAGTAGTTGAGCAAAATGTGGCATTTTACAGCGAGCATTCGAATTTTATCGTCTTCCGCCTCGTCCCGTTTTGAAGCTGGGTCAGGTCCCTTTTTGTATGGTCTTTGTGCGACTGTACAAGCCCAAATTTTACTTCCGACCCGCTGAACTTTTAGCCAACCGACTACCGATACAGGTACCTCTTGGCGAATTCCAATACGAGAAATGATCCACATAAAAGGACCACGACGGATGAGGTACAAGGACCCTTTCGCCTCTTAAGCTCTGAAATTGAGCTTGCGGCAAGAAAAGTTGCGTCCAATGGGCAAGGATGTGGAATTTTATGTCTTTCAGATCCATTGATAAACTTTGTTCTGAGCTGGAATGTCTGTGTTCAAAGTAGACAAAAGAGATTTTCAATCTTCCCCACCTTAACTTATGTTAAAATGATAATAACATGAAAGCAGATCAAAAATGTATGTAAGTAGAGGTGAACTTATTTTGGACCATTATAAATACTACTAGAGCACTCAGGAAAAAACTTTTTTTTTAACGATTGCAAGAACAAACTTAATGTGAATATTTCTCAGCGGCTTCGATAACGTGAGCAGTTAATGCATA